TGGCAACATTCAAGAGCTCCAAGTCCTTTAAACAGACACATTATCACAGTAAGCCTTGCAATAACCCTGCAAGGTAGGCCAGTGTTATCCCAGTAACAGGATCTACAAGGAAATCTCACGGTGTCTCTTAAGAGGGGTGTTCCTATTCTGAGCCTCAGCCAGTGCATTCTCCCTTCTTTCCCAGCTGATATGAAACATGACATGGTTCCAGAGCATGGATATTTTCTGGGCAGAGGAGGAGAATGTTTGATTTTTTTTTTTCTTTTGTGCTGCTGCAAATGGGAGGGTTTCAGCAAGCTTACTGATACCTCCTATCCATTTCTTTTGCCACAACAATGCTTGGCATTAGAGAGGGTTCTGTTAGACATGATGACTGGTGCTTAGAGTGACTTGCCTAAGGCCAGCTAGTGTCCTGGCTGTGCTTTAAATTGGGAACTTTCTGCCACACTCTGTGAGTCACTCCAGCGTGTCAGTGGTGGGTTGTTTTAATTCATGCTTCCGCTGGTACTGTTTTAAGCAATGTGATGCTGCCAAGTCTTCAAGGTCTACAAGCATAAATACTGGTAGTGACAGATTCTGATGTTCAAAGCCTGACAAGGAGTCAAACTCAAATATAGGTATGGGAAAACATTATCTTCAGCAACTCAGCTGCATTTGATAATTCAAGTTGCAGCCACCAGATAGCAGAAGAACGTTAACTTCCACTGCATCCTGCATCAAAAAAAGTCTGATTCTGACTGGATGTGAAACAAAACAAATCCCAGACATTCCTTAGTGCTGTACATGCCAACCTTCAGCTGTACTTGGAAGCACACTGATGGGAACCTTGGATATGATCTGTTATTGCTTTAAGCTTAGACTTGCTCCCACTGCAGTAACGTTCCTTTGTAAAGCAGCATAGCCCAGGGGACTGCATCCAATAGAAGCGGAACAGAAGTGGCTGGCCGAATGGATTTTCTCTCCCCCATGCAGGCCTCCATGATTTACCATCATTTTATGCTATTATTACATTTCTATCCCACCATTTTCCTCTTGCATTTAACTCATGACAGCTCACAGGATTCTCCTCCTCACCATTTTATCCTCAAAACAGCCTTGTAAGGTAAACTAGGCTGACAATTAGTGACTAACCTAAAGTTCCCCAGACAGTTCCGTGGCTGAGTGGGGACTAGATCAGTGATCCTGAGGAAAAGAACGTCTCCATTGAATCCCCATGTTGAATGGGATGGCAAAGAAAGTCTAGGTTGCCCTTGTTGGCATTCCACTTAAAGAGCAGAGTCTGGCAGCAAAGGCATCAGGATGAGACCAACAGGTACCACTTCTTTCCCGTCCTCATGTGTATGCAATAGCATCTTCATGGGCCCAGGCTGCTTTATGTTGAAAGGAAAGAATTCTGTAACATGTGACTTATGCATGACTTTCTAGGAGCCTATTCTGAGCTTGTCTGCCTACCTCTGGTTTAGGGCACAATCCTAGGTATGTTTAGAGAGTAAAAAGTCCTACAATTCCCAGATGGAGAAAGTTTTCATCATAATCAGTGTTGGTCAACATTCGAGGCCAAACAAAATGGATGAAATAGTGCCTTGAATATTGCTGGATCTCAGGTTACAGGACTAGCTAAAGACATGGCTAGAGAGCCAGTGCAGTGGTTAGAATGTTGGACTGATGTCCTGGGAGCCCATGAAGCTCACTGGGTGACTTTGGGCCAGTCACAAGCTCTTGGCCTAGTCTGCTTTGCACAGCTGTGAAGATAAAATGGAGCTGTGTAAGCAGCCTTGGGTTCCTCACAAAAGCAAAAAAGGTGTCACATAAATGCAATGCGATGGTGATAATGATGCTAGCCTACAGGCTTGTGAAGAAGAGCTGCAGAAGTCTAGGTGACTGCTGTCCACACATCAAAAGATAAGTTTATGCCAGACTTCAGGGTGGCTTCTCCATTTCAGATGTACTAAGTACTACTTCCTCACCAGGTCAGAAGGCTTAAGAATGGTTGCTAACCAAAACCTTAGTTTCTGGAAACATTTCAAAATGGATGACAAAAAGAGCACAGGAGAAAAATATCCTTTTGTATGGAGCTGTGGTAGACAACCTAACACCCTCCAGAATTACAGCTCCCACAATCCTTTGATCCTTGGGGCTGATGGAAGTAGGAGTCAAAAACATATGTAGGGCACCAGTATATATGGTCTAATTTTTAATGCATACATACCCCAGTTAAAAAACAGACAGACCTCATGCTGAAACCATGGAGAGCTGTCACCAGGGACAGCAGTTCCCAGAATTCTTGACTATTGGTCATGTTAGTCAAGGCTGATGGAAGTTGAAGTCCAAAAGAGAAAGACTGATTTGCTGGACATCAGAAGGTCTTACTTGCTGTAAAAGGACACATTTGCTGCACATTAAAAGATACTAAAATGAGCCCAAATGAAAAAGGAACAGCAAAACTGCATGATTGATACCTACCAGTTGTGGAGAGAGAGGGGAAGTTATCTGAGTAAGATATCTTACGTCAAACAAACGCAAGCATTTTGTAAACACACCTGAGTTCTCTTTCTTGATCATACTCCAGCATGCCTGAATGTCTGCTAAGTGCAGTGTGGGAATGAACATCTTAGCAGCATCAAATCGGATGCTTCTGGAACCCTATGAGGAAGAGCACTCGTGTTGTACCCTGCAGCTCTGTAATACAGGGACAGAGTTGGTTTTTTCCCTTCCCAACATGTACACGATGCAGCTCATTCTCAGTTCAAACACAAATGAACATTTCTACAAATTGCCAAAGTGCAGCATGACTTGAGAGCTTAAAAAAAGTTTACTGATGCACCATGGTGTGGGTGGTAATTACAGCAGCAGTAGCTGAACAGTCACATTATCCAGTCCTGGAAATGGGGAAACGACCTCTAATTAAGTGCAGATGGCATGCAAATGCATCATCTCCAACGCAGCAAAGCAAGATCCAGCGCACTGTTGCTACATCTCATACTCCAAAATACAAATGCTGTGGACTGGAAGGAGGGGGAGTGGAATACCGGACCACTGGCGATGGACGACATCCAAGCCCAGAAGTAGTGCGTTTCAAGTAATGACATTTGAGCCAGAAGAACCGACAGTGCTGTGCAGCTTGTTCCACATGTTCTCAGTGGTTTTGGGTGTTTCTGGAAAAAACAGGCCTAGTGCCACATGGCAGACCAGCTTTGAAACTAAAATTCAGTTTGTGGCATGGCTTTCTGCTGATGAAACAAGACAGCCAAAAATCTGACTGGGTGTGAGTCCATGTAAACCAAAATTCTGGCAACTGATAAAAGAGCTGCGTAACTAGCATGACAATGGTAGAAACATCTACTCAGAATGTAAGCATGTCCACGAAGGCAGACTAAGACCAGCCAAGCGATCATCTTTTCAACCAAACTATCATCCGTTAAGCACACACTTTTTACACAGCATTCAGGAGACACTGTTTCCAAATCCAGTTTATTTATTTTTTATTTAATTCTATACTGTTAATAGCCAAAGCTCTATGGTTGGTATACAGATCACTGACTTGCAATATATTCCTCCCATGTTTTAGACCAGATTTTAAAAAATAAAATAAAATTACAGTTCCACTTTGGCTTGTGTGAACAAAGAGTTCTGTCTTCCAATATTGTATCACCAGCAGCCATTCCAGCAGGCTGCCTGGTATGAGATGAAGGGAGGAAGCCATTTCCTGAAACTGCTGAAAGAATTATTTATATCCTTCTTCCCTTTCCTTGCCTTTTCCCCTGTCTGTTAGGTTTTTAGATTACAGGAACTATCTTGTTTAACTGATTATATGTAAGACCTTCCAGGGCCTTTTTGGCTGAGGAGTAGCATAAAAATACTTCAGGTAAATACATAAACATTAATATTTTAATGCTGTAGTGTTTGCATATTAAACACTTCCATTTCCACTTTCCCATTGAATTAATCAATGGGTTATCCTGGAAAATTCTCTCTGGGAATTGCCCCATGTCGATTTCTGTTCTTGGGCATCTTTCATTATGCATTTCCTTTCATTTTCATTTTCCCTAATAGCAACATTTCACTATTAAAGTGTTGGGGCAGTATCCAGTACTGTTGCTGTGCCTATGCTCATTCGTTTGTGTCCATGGGACTAGCCACTAGTACAGAGATGCAGAGCCTTTTTCTGCCTCCAGGAATATTCCATTTCAGATAAGCTCTCAGGGGGCTACATTCCAATGCTGAGCAGACTCAAATCTGAAAAGGATGGAGACAAGAAACAAAAAATGCCAGCATATTTTAGCTTAAAGTTCTCCCTGCCCTTTACAAGGCCTTAGAAGCCTCATTTCAACCATCTGGAATGTGGAGGAAAACTACACGAAAGCCAGGAAACCACCAAGCCAGTTTCTGGGGGGAATGAGTGTCGGGCCCACGACAGGGGTAAGGCATGGTGGGGTAACCTATACAGTCAGGGGTCTATACAGTCAGTGGAACTTCAGGGGTGTTCATCTCTGGGCTAGAGTAACAAGCCAGCTCTTTCTAGAGTAATCCCAGAAATGAGCAGAAGCTGCCATATCCTGGAAACAAGCATTTCCAGTCATGTCTGATTAGGTCAAGAACCTCTAAGTAGTCATTGTGCTTCTAGAAGTTGTCACAAGCACATCAGCAGCATTGGATACTGTTCCTCACCAGAGGCTGTTGATTCTAGTGTTGGTGAGGTAGTGTATCCACTCTGGTTTCAGTCTGAACTTTTCTGTGGTGATGAATAGCACCACAGATGGCTCCTTAAAAGTTCAGACTACAGCCCAGGGTGGATACACCACCCCACTGACATGGACCCCATCACTTCCCATTGCTGCTGTTTGTCTGCCACCCAACATACACTGACTCAGAGTAAGTCCCATGGGGCTTATTTCTGAGTAGAGATATACAGACTTGCACTGACAGAGTAGCTCTTGAGGGGAAATTACTCATTTGTTTCTCAGCTAGCATTAACTGGAAGCAATAAATAGAGCAGAACCTGCTAGTAATAATCTTTTTATTGGAAATTGTCAGGAACCATTCTTGAATGGAATTTACTTGCGAGTAAACACTATAGAAGGATCTTGGAGTGCTTCCAACTGAACAGCTGCTAGTATGATCAGTCAAAAGTCATTGTTCTGCTCTTCCATCTTTACCTCCTTAATGGCTTTTTCTCTGGTAAAAAAATGAAAAATTAGAAGCAGTGGTGGGAAAATACAGGAGGGTTACTAGTGGAAGATGACAACATCTGGACTCTCTGTTAAGTTTCATGAATGAGGAACACTGACTGCACAATAAAAGCTTCATTTGGGGTACCTTTACATACAAGAAATGGAACTGCCAGGTCATATTTGTGCTGGGAGACAAGATCCTGCCTAGGATCACAGAGCTAAGCCAAAGAACTGACCTGGCTGCCCACCCTCCGGTTGCAGCTGGGTAGTGGAGCAGGGCAAAGGGGTCCGTCCAGGGCAGGGGAGACAATAAGCCTGGGGCCAAGGACTTCCTCTGATTCCTATCAGCATCCCAGCCTCATTCCTTCATGATTCCTATCCCATTTTTGGCTGTTTAGATGAAATAGTAGGTATGAGGCACCACTGCTCCTCATAGGCTTACATGTATCAAGGGCACAGAACTGCACCCTAAAAGATTCGTTCTTGTGTATCTTTTCTTTCTTTGTGCATTGGTTATTTTATTGGGTTTTATAATGATGTTGCACTGGATAGCGTGAGTACATTGAGCTCATTTTGCCATGATGGATGGACCATATAAATACATAAATAAAATATTACACATTGTTTAGACCTTCCATTTTAATCCCACTTCCAGCTGGTAGTGGAAAATCAATTCTGCAGTGGTGCTAATGGGGTCTAGTAGGTAAGCAGTCTAACTTCAATGGCTACCAGAATGTAAATCTTCCCACCCACCAAAATTATCTTTACTAGAAAAGAACAAAAGGGTTATTAATATGTTAAAAATAAATGAGACTGAAGTAAACTGTTACAGCTCAGAGGAAGGATAAAGGGCATTATATCCCAGGCTTTGGGGCATCTGTTGTTCAGTAAACTCTGCAAACAGAGTTTCTACTTGGAAATGCTCATATAAATAACCAAACCTACACTATTGCAAGAGGAACCACTTACTGTATATACTGGCATATAAGACAACCCTTGAAACTGAAAATAGCAAAGACAAAATTGGGGGCCATCTTATGCACCTGACATATAAACAGATACAAATACTGACCTCATCTTATATGCAAGTGTCCTTATACAGTAATATATATGGATATTTTTCTTTTTTTCTTATCTATAGAAGAAAGAAAGAAAGAAAGAAAGAAAGAAAGAAAGAAAGAAAGAAAGAAAGAGGGAGGGAGGGAGGGAGGGAGGGAGGGAAGCGAAAAGTTACCAAAGAACCTTGTACAAAAATTACATACTATATGTAGGAAATACTACAAAAATGGTAATAATTATTACATCTACCAACTATAATTATAACTATAATTTTATATAATAATATTTAGGTTAAAATATTTAGCTAAATTAATTGATGTTTAATTAAGACTAAAATTATTACATAACATCGCTTTAACATGGATAGCAAGTAAAAAATTCACCTAATAATTCAACTTATAATATATAATAATTCAACTTATATAATTCAACTTCAGAAACCTGGCAACAATTAATAATTGATTTCCCCCCTTTCCCCAAATAAAACAATATCATAATAGAAAGCAAATAAATTCAAGGGGCAATTATACTGATTTGATCATTACATACATAATACTTAGTAGCATCTACAGGCTCTGTTTTTTCTCTGAATTGCTGAAAAAAGAAGGTATTACAGGCTTTCCATTTGTCCTAAAATTCTTTAACTGGTTTTCTATTTATATACCTAGTTAGTACATGCATCAGCTAAGTTACTCTTACATAAGTTCTATTTTTTCCTCTCAATTATTAAGTACAATATTATAATAATCTTTCCATTTATTATTAATTTCTTTGGCCCATCTTCTATTTATATAGCTGGTTAATTTTGTCATTTCTGCATATTCAGCTATTCCACACACACACCCCACCCCGGTCTTTACTAGGTAGGCAGTCCTCTGCTTTCTATTTTGTTGCAATTGTAACTCTGGAGCAGCAGAGTTATGAGGATATTTTTTTCCCGAAACACTTCCTAGTCACTCTTTCCACACTGTAGTACCATATTTTTCTGAAACTTACTTCCTGGTCACTTGTTCCACACTTTATTACCATATATATTGGTGTAGAAGATGACCCTTGAAACCAAAAATAGCAAAGCAAAAAATTAGGGTTCATCTTATCCACCCAACATCCACCCAGAAAAACAGCCCAAAATATTGACCTCATCTCATATGCAATTTGTCTAATATGCTGGTATATATGGTACATAAAAGAAGAATCATCAGTCACATTGGATTAGCTCTATATATTCATCATGGTATTACTGGTGTTTTAATTCACAAAGGAGCGCCTCCGTCCATACTTGCCCTCCTGCCCTCTAAGATCGGCGGCAGAGGCCCTTCTCCAGGAACCCTCCGTGAAAAAAATTAGGTGGGTGAGTACCCGGAGGAGGGCCTTCTCTGTGGTGGCGCCCCATCTGTGGAACGCGCTCCCCAGAGAGATCCGCCTGGCACTGTCATTATTTGCTTTTCGGCGCCAGGCCAAGACCTTTTTATTTAAATGTTATTTTAATTGATTGGTAAATTATTTATTGCTTTTATCTAACTCCGGGATGTTTCCAATTTTGTATATTTTTGTATATTGTTATTTATTTGATTGGAAGCTGCCCCGAGGCTTATGCGAATGGGGCAGCATACAAGCACTCCAAATAAACAAACAAACAAACAAACAGTTATGAATGTAAATGATCTTGGACAGTGTTTTGCTAAAGCTTTTTGGTTACATTTTAAAATCAAATAAATAAGCCTAATCAAAATTCTAGGAAGACCATCCCTACAGCAGCAATTGCAATTGGACAGACCTAACTGGTATTTTAAAAATGTGTATACTACATGCAGTACTTGAAAGAAGAGGCTAGCAACTTCTCCCTTTTTCTTTTGATTCTAGAGTAAGCACTGGGGCAACATCCTATAAACAACAGGTGGGTATAGGTATGCTAATTCTTTCTCCCATGTTGAAGTAGCGCTCATTCCTAAATACATATACTGCCTAACATTGATCCATTTGCTTTAGTGGACCAATATGAAAGCAAATGAGTCATTAAAGTAAATTTGGGTGAAGGTCAAGATTACCTCAAGATTCTCACATAGGCTGTAAGATGTAAGGGATGGGAGCCTATTCGTGGTGGTTCAGGCTGCCCTCCCCCACCCCAATTTCATCAGTGCTCCCACTGGAATCCTATTCTGTTCCATGTGGACTTTTCCTAGCCAACAAAATCCCAGGCAGAGTAAAACCCACCAAGACCGGCTTTGCTCCTCTTTCATGTTCTCTGTAGAGGGGAATTCCACTGAATTTGTTCTTTGATGTACTGGAGAGGCAAGCAGAGCCACTGAGCCAGGCTTCTGGATGAGGAAAGGGAGGGAATTCAACTGAAACCTTACAAGCCAGAGGTTCTCCATTTTTGCTTTAATGGATCATCATTTAGGACCCCGGGGGTGATCAGGATCAAAACATGGTGGAAAGCTTTCCCTAAACCTTCCCCTAAACATTCTCCCAAACTAGAATCATGATCTGGATTGCAGCTATTGCACTTAGAGTACAAAGGGAAGGGGGACACAGCATCTTGAGAGTCAGTGTGGTATAGTGGTTAACAAGATGTGACACGGGACCAAGGTCCTGCTTAGCCATGGAGCCAACTGGGTCAGTCACAGACTCTCAGCCCAACCTACCTCACAGGGTTGTTGTTGTGGGGAATAAGATTGAAAGTAGGAAGAAGAAAATGATGCAAGCCACTTTAAGGTCTTCAAAAAAAGAAAAAAAGAGTACATAAAATCTTTGCATAACAGCAACTTTTCTGACAGGTAATATATTTCAGTTTCCAAAGGGACAGCAAAATACACAGGCAGCATCTTCACTTTACAAACATCTAAAGGGGCGAAGGAATAGCCTGGTCGATCACGCCTACCTTAAGGTGTGCCTTCTGCTGTATGATGCCCTCTCTCTGGATTTCTTTGCTCCTTTGGGGACAGGTACTAGGTGGCAGAGTATGGGATATGAACAAAGTTGAGGCAGGAAGTCTGCTGACAGCAAGCTACACCCACCTCAGTTTCACTTGGATGAATTCTAGCAAGGGCACCTGTAGGTTCGACCATGACTCATTACTAAAAAGTGGGGAGGGGGGTGAAAGGGCATAGATTTGAATATGGAGTGCCTTCTACTGAAGCCACCTGGGCCTCAGGTGACAAACGTGACTCAAGAAGCATTCACAAGTTACAAACCTGCTCCTTCAAGGGGAGTGCGACCCCATCTAAAACAGCTTAAATGCCTTCCATCCAGTCAGAAAACCCATCTACTAACAGCATTGCAATCTTGGCTGGATTGGGCTTCAGTTACAGCCAGGCACTGGTTTAGCATACTGACATCCTCACTTGTTGATGACAATACACTCCAAAAGTCCAGATGACTCCAAATTGGCACTTTCATGTAAATATTAAATAGCCTGAGGGAGAAGAGAGACCCTTGTGGGATCCCATGCTGAGAGTCCAAGGGGAAAAGTAATATCCCCCAGTAATATTCAAAAGAAGCAATATTTTGAAACTGGCCATCCAAGTAGGAGCAGAACGCAGTAGTTCCAACTTCCAACTTGGTCAGCTGTCCCAGAAGGATACCATGGTTTTGATGGTTTCAAAAGTGCCCTATGTCCAACATAGTTTTAGGAGAAACCAGAAGTACCAACAAGGTTCACACTCCCCCACCTCTTTCCTGGCATAGGTCATCATACAGGGCAACCAAAGCTGTTTCCATGCCAAAACCCAGCCTGAACCCCAAATGAAATGGATCCAAAGAAAGTCTCATCCTACAGTGCATGCAGCTGGCTGACCACCACCCACCCAAGATCCTTGTTTAGGCAGAGGATACTTGCCCCATGCCTACATTATTAAGAACTTCTGGGTCCAGAAAAGGTTTCTTCAGGAGTAGCCTTACTACCACCTGTTTCATATGACATAGAACCACTTCCTCTTGTACAGAGGCATTCACATCTGTATCCCAGCCAGCCAATCCCTCCCTGATAGCTTTTACTAACTGAGAAAGGTGTGGATCCAGTACAAGGTGGTATAAACTTGTCTGAGCATGTTATCCTTGACCTGTATGGACTGAAGGTAATCTAAAAAACCTTAAGAAGGCTGCACTCTGGATATGTGCCTGAGTCCACTGGTGTCTAGGTCATGGTGGGTACAAGAGATTATATCCTAGAACTAACTAGCAAATGTATTGCAGCGGGCTTCAGGTGGCTTCCAGGTGTTTTGGGGCCAGCATGGAGCAGGCCCTGGACAATCCTAGAGCCCAGCTTGACAGTAGAAATAAGGCTGAATAGCTACAGTGAGATATTGTTTCTCTGCCACTCTCATACAAATATACCAGGACCCAATTGCACCCACTAGTTTTCCTTGATCTGCGCACAAACCGTCTCCTGTTCTGTTTATTGCTCTCAGCTCCAGGAAATAACATGGAGTCATATAAGCTAAGCTACGCAAAGGATACCCAGGTGCAATTGTGTCAACTGCGTGCGTCACCCCTCTATTCCAGAGAGTGATCAGGGATTCAACAGAACTGCCAGCCATACCAGCCAGAAACATGATATGTCAATGCAATACTTAAAACTGTAGCATGATTGTAGAAATTAGTAGTGTTACCAAAGAACCATGAAGAATTTTAAACTACTGGTAAAATGAACCTGCAGTTGGTGACAATAAGCTCAAAGATGTTTTGCATGTTACATGCATGTGGAGAGATAGCATAATCACAGTTATCTCTGGCAAACTTTTGTTTCTGAGGCATTTGCATGTTTCATCTGCTCCTAAGAAAAGATGGTCCCTTTAAAAATAAATAATTTACACCATAATCTTATCCTTGAGTTATGCTGGTGGAATGATGTTACAATCCTAACTTTGAGTTATACCCACTTAAGCAATTGTTATGAGGGCAAAGGGAAGTTCCACTGTCATCAATCTTCAAGGATGGGTAACTATGCAATGAAATCAGTGCATACCACTCTACTTCTGAGTAGCCTCATATATGCCCGATGCTGAGTCCTTTCTTATATCCTTTTACATGTGGGACTTCTTGTGAGCAAGGGATATGAAAGGGATCAAAAAGTAGG